GCTACGTACCTGCTGACTTATATGCATAGAGAGTTCATCACTGCCAACTATGACCAAACTGGCTTACACCCACTGATCATCCATCGATGTTGAGACCTACTGAGCATATGGACATCAGTCACTATTCACAAGCGAATGGCCACAGAAACTAGACTATACCGATCATCTCGCTAACAATAGCGGCAAGTCATTGTCCTGTTTTCACCCTTCGCTTCCTTTTTCGCCGGAGATACCAAGAGCGGATGAATCAAGTCCTTCATACAAGGACCAGAACAGGAAATGACAGTTTTGGCCCCGCAAACTGGTTGCTAAATTAACATCCAAAGAAATTCTGGAGCCGCCAAAAGCGACAGCCGCGCTGGAGTGGGATACCGAGCAAGCTTCGGAAGTTATCTATCAGACCGCCTAGGAGGATATAGATCTATGATCTCCACGCCGTCTGCCCACGTGTATGGGGTATCAAACTTATTTTCAAGATGAGAGTTGAGAAGAAGAGTCATTGCTTGACCGCAACAAATGCAATGTCAGGGACTCCACGCAGGTACCGGTCATGATGACCTCTGTTGTAGTGTTCGATTAGCAGACCCTTACCTGTATGCGTCCACTCCACGAGGCTCACGCAGGGTCTGTACCACACCTGCCTGCTTCTTACTTGCATCTGTCAATGTCACTTGTGACTTGCTTAATTGCAGGTATGGAGAACAGCAGTGACCAAGCAGGGATAGTTGATTCAGCTGACAACATCCTGAGCATCATGATTACATATTGGGAAATAGGTCATGGAAGCTTGGGTCTCATTGTTCGTGATATACACCTACCGACTATCAAATGTGAGAGGAATTAAATACAGCCTTTTGGTCCACTATAGATCGGCATTCTACCAACAACTCTCCACACAGATAGTTTCTGTTCAAAATGCCTGATACCAATCGTTTCATGAAGCTGTCAAGGCGAGGACCATTTCTGGATTTTCTTCAAACTTGATACTTTGCGGCTGTGTGACTTCGGCTCTTTAGTCGCCAAACAAGAGGTGCGATGCAGTAGAGGAACCCACAAGCCTCCAGGTTTTACCTGGTTACACTGACACCGCCATTATCAGTCACAGGCTAACTGATGGAAACAGGCTTGCTGTCAATTTGCAATTGGAAGATATGGCAGTTTGAAACAACAATCAGCCATTCACTCTTACAGTCACATTTAGCACTGATCAACATGAGAAACCGACCTCAGCCATGCCATGCCATGTCATGTCATGACAAGTCAGGACAGTGCTGGATATCCCGGGCTTGCACAGTTCCCCAAGTCACTCGAAAACGGACCGGAATCCTTGTCTGGGCTTGTCTAAAACTCCAGACATCCCATCGGGGCCCCAAGCTCTACCCCCACCATCCCGCATCTTTATATATCGACATGATTGGCTCTTGGCATCACAGTGAATTCCCCCAAACAGGATTTCGGGTTGTCTCTGCCTCGCACACACCCCGACCCTTGATCTGCTGCTGTGAGTTCCAGCTGCTTTTCTAGAAGCCTGCGCCCCTGCGTCGTGGTAGTACAATGTAGGGAGCTTGGACCAGCCTGTCAAGGTGGTCTCTCATTGCTCGCAGCAAAACTAGCCGATGTGCCAGCTCGTGCATATTCAGCAAAATCCTCTGTTGGATGCAATTGTTGGTCGCTACTCGCTACGCACAGGTTGCTACAGTACTCGACGGTACCCATCCCATCATGGACCCTGCGGTTTCAATCCTCGGCTTTTCTAATAAGATCTGTGCTTTTTAGGCAAGTTTCTTCCCCATGTTCAGAGTGGAGTTGAATGATCGGTCCATGATAATTACCACGTAGCATATGGCATTTGGCCAAATACTGCTGATCTGCGTCAGAGACCTTGGCCGACGGATTGTCATTTGGCAAATGAGGTTTCGCTTCCACTTCCACTTAGCAAGGAATGAAGATTCGCCTATAGGATACCGACATAGGTATTTGTTGACCGAGCCGTGTTCACTAATAGCACGGACAATTCTGACAGTCAGTCTATTACATTTTGTGTTTGTTGGTGATGGGGCTCATCTGCGCCGTTCATCGGTAGCTCTGCACGCGCGATTCCTAATGAGTGTTGGACTCCATCTGCACGTCGACATTTGCGATGGCGCTTCTCTTTAGCCGCATCTGCTTCGATCCATAGCCAATCTCCTCGTCTCAGGTCAGCGCAAGCAGAGGGTGAGGGTCGCCCCGGTCAGGAGCCTCTACGGATAAAGCCTTTGCTTGTTAGACTCGGGGTCAATTTCCACCAACTGACATTATGAGGCTCGGTGCGAAATGAAACGAAAAACGAGCCCTAAGTTGACGATAGTTTTGAACGGTTTAAGCGCCAGGAGACACCAACCAAGTCAAGAAGGGAATGGATCGAAATGGGCACGCACATGCTTGCAATTTTTACAAAAGACAAGACAAGACAAGTTGCGTACATATGACATTATGTAACTGTGTTGTCACAGCCTCGTCTGTCCCATCAGGCACAGACAGCTGACAGCACATCACAGGCACGATTGTGATCGATGGCTCTCGGTATATCATGGCAAGCCGCGGTTGTTGGTGGACAAGAGTGAAAGGAAAGGAAAGGAACCTCCAAACGGGCCGGCTTTTCGTCAAGGTCCATATATCTTCACGTAGCAGAAGGTATTACTGGCTATCCATAACCATGGGTATGGAGAGTTGCAATGCAGTCGACCATGAAGCCATGGATGAACTGGGGCCGCTGGACCGTTCCATCGTGACCGTAAAAGGCAAGTCGAATGCGCCGTTGTCTGATTGGTTCAAGTGCGGCGCCTTGCTTTGGATTGGAGCGTCTATTGGCTATGCTTAGGTCCAAGCCACATCTATCTCTGATTGGCCGATCGGTGACCGGGCAATCAAAATACCCCCACGCGCTGACTTTGCCAAATTGCAAAATCAAAACTCGAGCATATCTTTCACAGGCAGAAAATTTTTACCTTTGCAACCACACAAAAACCTGCGTTGCCTACCATATCTTTTCTTACCATACATACCCTTCCATCTCGCTGGGCGCGCCACGAGATACTCTACCATCCATCAGCATCGCTGATCCCCGACAGCTGCTGCAACCCTCACATACATCGCTTTATAATAACCTAGCAAGCTCGATTCCTTCGTTGCGTCATGGTTTTGGCCTTCGGGTCAAGTATTGTCTTGTATGTCTGGGAAGCGGCCGCTGCCGCTACCGTTGTGTCAGGTGCATTCTGAGTCGAGTGTGCCCCTACGGTAGACCCTTTCTGGCAGGGCTGGGATGGGATGACAGAGCTTCAATACGCAAATCGCGTGTCGGTGCGAAGCTTGATGGCATCATTTCACAGGATCTTAAACTATAGATCAAGTGCTATGCACACCCTTGCTACTATATGATACTAACCAACCTTTGAGCAGCTTTCGCGTGATGTGATGTTTTGCCAGTCACCGCGTTGAGATTCTTCTCGGCGTGGTAATCGGCATTCAGTGTCTGCTCTCCATAGACCTGGATGTTTTTGCTCTGGCATAGATAAATCTGAACTCGTTGCTGGGCACCCGGCTTTTAGAAGTCGTCTTGATCTCTTTGAGAGGCCGGGAATCAGCTGTAGGCACATACCAATACCCATCACTAGTATCTTTGTAGTTTGATCATATGAAGTCAAGTCGATATACGACCGGTAGTTTACGACGGCAGTGGCACGCTATCCCTATGGTATGCTACTATGCCCCGTCAATTTGCAACTATTGGATATTTCTTCAACCGGCAGTTGATAGATTGGCTAGCCGGCCTGGGTCACCAGAGCTTGGCTTGCCCTGCGATGCTTCCATTCCCTGCATCGTCGACGTGGCTTCAGTCGCGTGGGATTTAGTGATCAAGGCCGTTGGTCCAGGCCATGCAAAAGGGTTCAACTATCTGTCGAACGTGAAATCTCACCCGCCAAAGCCAAAGCGACAACCCAAACCTGATGATCAACGATCGGCGGGGTGTTCCGAGCCGGGCGAACGGCGTGACCGATTGGCAGATTGGGGGTTGTATAGGCATAGCTCCCGTTGATTTAACAATTGATTGATTGATTACGGATACTTATTTTCCATTGATGACTTGCCTTGTTTGAATATGCATGCCCTGCTGACGACGTAAGGAAGTATACGGGCTAAATCAAGACTATTTGCTTTCCCTCTTCCGTCGCGTAAAACGGTCTATCGGAGCGAGAACTGGGAGTCTAAATGCGAAACTGTCAGATGGGGGGAGTGTGACTTTGTCTTCATGCAGTGCATCTGTTTGGGTCAATCTACGTCTCACAAGAATGGATGCTGTGATGTGAGAAACCACGGCCGAGTCCGATGAAGAGCAGAGCCGTATACAGCAGGTGGTGGTCGATCAGCGAATTGATGAGATGGTTGCTGCTGCTGCTGATGCTGATGCTTGATACCCAACCGAATCATCTACAGACGAACGAATAAAGGCTGCTGCTGTTATGACAGCTACTGCAGGCAGTTACATATGGCCGATCGCTCGACGTAAAGGGCCAAGCAGACGGACTTTCTATTGTGGGCTTCTGAAATGACTGATCGAGAAACTAACAGCGGTTCATACGGTGTTCATACTGAAAATAACAAGATACCATAAGCTTGGCTGACCTGGGTATCGATGGTGTGCTCCAGCAATCCCCAGTTTCCAGTTTCCAATTCCAGCCTCCCGTTACTTTACTGTTACTGTTACGGCATGGACCTCGGTGCCGTGGCAAAGGCAAAAGTGGAGGAGGGGTTGGTTGTAACTTGTCAGAGGAAGACTCCTGTAACCAACTCCCTGACTTTGTATACTGGTATCAAAGAAACCAGACTTGACTCTGCAGCACCACAATTACTGAAGTATCCATTGGAGAATTAGCTGTATCTCGATTGCAGTAACAGCCCGATTCATTCGTTACTCCACCAATAACGTAAACAAAGCCTCAAGGTAAACATATATCGTCATCATGGCAGACAATAGGTAAGAAGAGGCCATCCGTTCAATCGCGTATATGTCAATTCCACAATAGAGTACTAACATGATGACCCATCTGTAGTCGTGTTGATATTATCTTCATTGGCGCTGGCGCCGTCGGTTGTTTCTATGCTTCGCGACTCCATCACGTAACGTCTCCTTGTCGCATGAGTAGCGCACTTCAACTAACCATCGTAATAGCCATCGCAAAACATCCATGTTTCTCTTGTAGCGCGCTCAAACTATGCTGCTATTGAGAAGGATGGCGTGAAGCTTCAAACGCGAAGCTTCGGCGACTACACTTTCAACCCAGACGCGGCATTCCCATCTATTGATGCCGCTGCTGCTGCCAGTTCATCGGGCGGAAAGCGAGATTGGCACTATATCTTTGTAACAACGAAAGCTCTTCCAGATATCAGCGATGACTCTTCTATAATCGAGCCTCTGGTCGGTCCAAAGTCTTGCATCGTTCTCATCCAGAACGGTGTCGGCGTGGAAGAGCCCTTCAGGAAACGATTCCCCAACAACCCCATCGTCAGTGCTGTTACGGTTATCAGCGCAGAGCAGACTTCTCCTGGTACAATTCGCCAGAACCGCTGGACACGTATCAGTATTGGACCTTACACAGATGGCCTGGCCTCGCAAGACTCGGAGCTAGGTCGCCGCGGAACAGAGTCAACTGAGGCGCTGCACCGTTGGTGGTCAGACCTAGGCGGTATCAAAGACGTGGATCCTCATGATGAAGTCGGTCTTCAGACTGTGCGATGGCATAAGCTCTGTATCAACGCAGCTATGAACCCTTCAGCTGTTCTTTCCGGAGGTCGCGGCAACGCGGATATGGTCGCAGATGACGAACTGCAGCGACATCTATCCGGCGTGATGCACGAGATCCGCGATGCCGTGCCAAAGATCTTGGGTCGACCTTTCCCGGATAGTATGGCCAAACCGGAGAAGATCATCGAGAGTACGGCGCGCAATAAGGGTGCCAGGCCAAGTATGTTGCTGGACTGGGAAGCTGGCAAGCCGCTCGAGCTCGAGGTGATCTTGGGCAATCCCGTGAGAATCGCAAGGGCCAGAGGTGTTGAGATGCCGAGATTACAGAGCTTGTATGCCCTCTTAAGATCTGCCCAAGCCATGAGAAAACAAGACATCAAGGGCAAGCTGTAATGGTAGGACGGTCTACCAATTTAGGTAACAAGGAAATCGTCGCATAGCAGCCGTCACTGCCTCATCGTGTGGGCTGATTTCCTGTTTTCACCGGATCACGATGGTGAAGAACACCCAGGCGCTTTTGGCCAAAGATGGAAATAAATTATAGAAATTATAGGTTGGTAATCAAATCGTTAAGATGTCATATAAAGGATTAAGCGTCATCAAAGCATGCAGTTATAGAAAGTCAAGTATAATATAGGTCACCCATATTTTCCAACTCCAAGCAATTTCATCACAACTATACGCAACGAATCAATGGATATTTCATACTAGACTTGAAAACTGCTTCTGATTAGTTGCTGCCTCAATCTAGTAGTGTAGGTGACTTACATTCTCTGGAGAGTTGGTGATCTCCTCGAACGCTTGGAGTGTCTCAAAGCCCATGGCTGTCAAAGACTCGGTGCCATCATCCACAACCTGAGATGCATTAGTAAACCACGAGTTCCAACAACGACAATCGATAGCTTACCGATCCCAATACAGCCTTCGTCGCTTTGTGATTCCTGGCTTGACGAACGCCCATAAACGCCAGGCCCTGCAAAGTAAGAGTTGCCAGTGGCATAGAGGATACAACTGGAGCGAGGATACCGCTGATGTGCTCAGAGCGGGACTTCAAAGACGGAAAGTGAGTTTCCAAATGGCTATGCGGATTGCAAACAATCACTGTGCCCAGTAGATTACCTGAAGCATCTTTGGCTCGGACGATCCCGCTCAACTTCGTTTCTGACAATGCATGGCGATACAGTTCCAAAACCTCTGGGCTTGCGTGGTTACGTACATGGCTCAGCACGCCATCCGCATGATCTAAATCGTGGATTAGATCAAAACTTATACCCACTCTTTGGATGCTTTGAGATAAGCCCTCAGGAGCGGACCAGTTTGTTAGGTCTTGAATAATCATGTTTGAAACGCGGCGGAGAAACTGAACATCCCAGCCGCTGGTTGTGAACCATTCTTTAATTGTGTTTACCTCGACATCAACAGGGATGCCAAGGAAGACACCGGGGAACGACGAGCCAATCTGCACTTGCTTGATTCCTCGGTGCTGCACAAGGCTCCTGAGTGCTCGTCGATGAAGAGACCTTCCGATAGACACATCACGTTTGGTAGGCTCAACAAAGACGCCGCCCAGGATACCGACCCCGTGAACATAATAAGTAGCAGCAAAGCCATACAAAGCGTTTGTGCTACTGTTTCTGACAACAAAGTGCGACTCGACAATGTTAGGGTTGTTCAGTTGGAAGGACGCAGCTGTCGTTGCACGTAAGAACTGCAGATCTGGTGCGCTTGCTCGGTGGACAGCTCGAAGAAGGTCGTTCAACCCTGATGCGTCACGCCCGGAGCTATACTCCTCCACCAGCCAGTGTTGTCTCGATTTGACCACCTTTTTGCTCTTCCGCAACGTTCCCGGAAGTGTACCAAGTGGTGCAATCTCTCCCACCAGTGTCCTCGCAAGGGCATGCAAAGCGCTCTCGGTGAAGTCAAAGGTACAGACATATGTACCAATTGATTTGTCCATAGCAAAATCATAGGGAGAGCTGACCGCGACTACAATCAGTTGCTTCTTCTGGCCTCTAGTGCGCAGCATGGAACACATCATGTCAACGTGTTTGGTAAAGCCAGCTTGGTATAGGTTTCGATTGGCATCAGCGGTGACAATGATGATGCAAGAGGCTCTGTGAATGAGGTTTTCATGTACTGTAGCTGGTCAGAAAGGCATACATTCAACGGAGGACAACAGTACTACCTGGACGAACTCCATTAGCCGTATAGCTGGTGTGGAGCAGTTTCTCATTACGAGCTCTGGCAAGTGACTTGCCGAACTCTCGAAAGACACCCTCTCCGCTTAGAATTGCGCGGCGGTCGCGGCCATCATTATGTGTCCACATCTCGTGCGGGCCTTCTGCTTGACTTTGGCCATCCTTAGCAGCGAGTAGTTTCTTTGTGAGAGAAGATGCAGGAAGTGGTTTGACTAAGGGTGTCAGCAATAGGAGCTCTTCTCCTGGGTGCATAGATGCTGTGAGCGGAATGAGCTTCTCCTTGTCTCGAATGATTGTTATTGAGTCGTCATAGGCGCGGAGTGACAGCGCAAGGTGAGATGGATGAAGCTGGGAAAGAAGAGAAATGCCTGGGGGGTTCAGGGCCTTTTCCCATGAGGTACATGTCGATTTTAGGTTGAGTACCCTTCTCAAAGACGTAAAGATTCTCTCTTTACTGACGATTCCGTTCTCATAGCCCAGTTTGAGGCCCTTGATAGCTTCAAGCTGGACCTCGTAGGCACGACATAGGAGGACAAGGTCACAGCCTGCCTCAACAGCCATAATAACGCCGTTTTGGACACCAAGCTCGTGGCTGAGGGCCTCCATCTCCAAGCATTCTGAGATCGCAACGCCGTTGAATCCGAGCTCATCTCGTAACAGTTCGTCCACAACTTGTTCAGAGAGACAAGCATGACTGACGTTCATAGATGGGTTGGATATACCACAACCTCCCACAAACATGGCATCCAATTTACCCGACGCAACAGCATTGCGAAATGGGACGAGAGCGCTGATACTCAACTCCTCTAGAGTTTGAGTAATGATAGGCACATCTAGGTTTGAGCCAAGGAAGTTCAGGTTTCCGTATGATGGAAAATGCTTTCCGCAGGAGGCTATTCCTGCATCACGAATTCCTCTTAGAGCAGCAAGGCCATACTGAGAAACTTCTTGGGGGTCATCGCCGGTAGCGCGTACTCCCAATGGTTGATATCGAGCATTGTTAAGAACGTCAAGGACAGGACCCAGCATCAGGTTGACACCACATGCCGAGATCTCAGTTGCAGTAGCCTTGGTGACCTCATACGCTAGGTCGGCTCGGCCAGTAGCCGCAATACCCATAGCGCTAGGGAATTGACAGACATAGTCCTCGTCAAAAAGACTGTTGACACCTCCATTCTCTTGGTCGAGGGCAATGAGAAGAGGTTGTAAGTGACCAGCATTCTTTGCAATGGTCTGTAACTCTTGGACTAGTTCAGCAGTCTGCTGAGCAGCTTCACAGGGTCAGTACTATAGAATGGCCCAAGCTCCATGATGGAGACTTACATTTTAGGTTTTTGGCAGTAAGAATGATAGACCCAAGGTGGTGGTCCTCAATAAGGGTCCTGATCTGGGGCGTGACTTCAGTGCCATCCCAGCCCATGATGAGGATCTGCCCAATGGCACTGCATGGCCGGACCAGTTAGCATGATCTGTTACTTCGTACATTGATCCAATTGACTCAAATTCTCCGAGCTTCGGAGCCGAAGGGTGGAGGTAGATCTAATTGTCTGGAGAGATGGACTGGACCGACCACCACGGGAGTGGGTACGTACCGGTCGAGATCCTGCCATGATGGATCCAGGTCGCTATTATCTGAATGGGCCATGATGGTTGGGCGGCGAGGAGGCCTCGTCACATGATACTTTGATCTCTTTTGGTGGTGAAGACGATGCTCATCCCTCGATGGCCCCGCGTGTTTGAGTCTGAGGTAACGATGCGATGCGTTGGCATGACGGTAGCCTTCTCGCGACGACGAGGACGATGCTGACCCAGGAGGGGCCATAATGGAATGGCTGTTGCCGAACGCCTAAACTTCGGTTGATATGATTGGTGTATATTGATTGGCTGCTTGTGGAAGGTACGGTGCAGTACAAGGGGAGGTTGGGGAAGGTGGTAAGTGGGGTCCTGGTCCTTCTGTCAGTGGAGGTTGTTCTTTATGGCGGTTACTGACGCAGTGACGCCCCAGCAGTTAAACGTTACGTTACATGGAACAACAGCAACAAAGCAAGCCTTTGGCTGCAGTCGAGTTTCACGTTGTGTTGAGTCAATAAAGACTGAACCAGGTAAGGATGAGCAATGGATTCTGAGGCAAAATGGACGGGTGCCATGATCTTTGTACCCAAGTGCACCCTGGTCTGTCAATATGCGCAGCAACATACCCAAAGGGAACCAGACCATACCACACCAGGTTGAGCCTCCCCACACAGTCTCTGTTCGTGGTTTCGACGATGGCACCGTTCATTTGGGTCAAACTTGCACGGTCACTGAATCGCAATGACGATATGACGAGATAAGTTTTATCGTGCTATCAGGAAAACGTGGCCGTCTTCGGCGCCTTGATAGGGCTTTTTCAGGTCTGGTGATGGGATCTTCGGCGTACTAGTATAACACGATTCGCCCTCAGTTTCGAATATGAATTATTGTCCTTAGGGCCTCCAAGCAAAGGCCAAGCACGACAGTCGAAAACATCAAGCATCAAGTAAAATACCTAACGCTTCTTTATAGACCACTCCTACAATCCTTCAACATGCCTATCGCAGTCTCGCCGACGCTGCCCAAAAATGGCCTTACCAAGTTTACCAACTGCCGGTTGCTGAAAGGCAACGATCTAGTTTGGGAAGACCTTTGGGTCAGCTCGGCCAATGGCAAGATTGTCGATAGCCAGGCATCCTTCTACGGTGGCCGTAATATGCCTGAAGATACTATTGATCTCGGTGGGCGCATCATTGCTCCTGGTCTCATCGAGTGTCAGCTCAATGGCGCCTTCGGGTTCAACTTCTCAACCCTCCTCGATGACATGACCGAATATGGCAAAAACATCCAAAAGGTCAATCGCCTACTGGTCAGGACAGGGGTCACCTCTTACATCCCAACCATCACAAGCCAGCGACCGGAATTATACCAAAAGGTGCGTTCTGTTTTGGTGGGGCGATTGTACATGAAGCTAATTACCAATAGGCCCTCCCGTACCTTGGTCCGTCCGGGGAACTGCGGATCCCCGGTCACGGGGCCGAATCTCTCGGAGCTCACTGTGAAGGTCCCTTCCTGAGTCCTACCAAGAACGGAGTCCATAATCCCAATGTCCTCACCGAAGCTCAATCTATCCAAGACATCGAACGATGCTATGGTCGAGAAAATATGGTCCCTGGGCCTGATGGGTCTCCAATTCCCATCAAGATGATTACTGCCGCACCTGAACGGGGACAGATGATGAATCTGATTCCGGAGATTACATCAAGAGACATCATCTACTCCATTGGCCATACCGAAGCAACATACGAAGAGGCATCTCAGGCTGTCAGTAAGGGTGCTACGATGATTACACACCTTTTCAATGCCATGCGCCCATTGCATCACAGGAACCCAGGAGTCTTTGGGGTTCTGGGCAAGGCCGAAAGCGTGCCGCGACCTTATTTCGGTATCATCTCTGATGGAATCCACTTACATCCTACAACCATCAAAATTGCCTACAGCGCTCATCCAGATGGGTTCGTCCTGGTCACAGATGCCATGCATCTTGTAGGTCTCCCTGATGGAGCTTATCCTTGGACGAATGGGGGAAAGACAAACAATATCGTTAAACGTGGTTCTAAGCTTCTTCTCGAGAACTCTGACACTATCGCCGGAAGGTAAGTACCAATCCACTATGAGAAGGCTTGCAGCTGAACTAATTTGTCAAAGCTCAATTACTTTGCTCGAGTGTGTCAACAACTTCATGAAATGGACGGGAGCTAGCATCCCCCAGGCCCTTGGAGCCGTGACATCAACACCTGCAGCTATGCTCGGCTTGCAAGGGGTCAAGGGTACGCTAGAATCCGGCGCTGATGCAGATCTGGTGATTCTATCAGACAGCCTTGGAAGTCAGGACGAAGTTGGAGGATCAAGCGAATTCCTCGTGCTTGATGAGGTGTGGAAGTTTGGTGAGAGAGTTTTGGACTCTGCTGACGAGAGCAAGTTGAAGTAAATGATGTTGGTCGGTGTTCAGTGGCGTCACCATTGTTTGCTTATCATAAGAATAAAGATTAAGACTGCATTGAGAGGTAGATTCCAAAGAGTATTTGGCGTTAGAAAGGTTTCTGGACTGGTTTAAAACGTACAAGGAGCATTGATTAAAAGCATCAATAGAAATATGATTCGTTCGACCTTTTTTATTAACATCTTATCGAGTTTGAAATTTTGTCTTTGTTTCAACGAGATGCCGATTTGGTGATAGCAAACAGCGCTACAAAAGCCTCCTTCCATACAGCATTCGTCGAGGTCCTTATTTTTAGCAGATCAAAGCTGGTCGCGGGGTCTAGCTCTTCTATCTTCACATGGAGCTCTCCGTCTCGGGCCAATTGTAAAACAGAATGCTAATCAACGATAAGAAACCATGGACAAGAACAGGAAGGGTCAGCCAGCCCAGTGGGTCTCTCCCCACAACGCTACCTTCCACAGGCTACGGCTACAGTTGCGATACAGCGGGCGGACAGGCAAGACAGGTCCAGGTCCAGCCTCCACACTCTCCGCCCTCCGCTCTCCTCCAGTCGAACTATCTTTACTCTGCTCACTCTAACCTCAGGGCACTTTGTTTGCTCGTCGCTTCAACTCTTTCTCCCTTTTCTACCCTCGGCGCTGTACCGGGGAAATAAAAACCGCCATCGCTGGTGTCGCCAGCTTATACTGATCGTTTTGCATCGTTACACATACTTGCGCGATCACGTTGTGTTGCTATTCCATTCCCCGCCGCGCGCACTTGATCCAATGAGGCTTTGACGGTTCCTTTCAACTGAACAATGCCATGTCCACCTACAACTCAATGTCGGGGCTGCCTACTGGCGCCTCTTCCAGCGAAGCGATGGCGATGAATTTTGGATCAGCGCACTCTACGAGTATGAGTATAGACGTCTTTGATCAGGATATTACTTTTGATGAGTCCTTACTGTACGTACTGCATCGCACATGCGACGCGCGCGCAAGATTTCGGACAATGGCAGTCGAAGCTGACAATCGATCTACAGAGATGGGGCTGCACTGCAGACTCTGCCTTTCGGCAGTTCGTACGACTTGGATGCTTTTTCCTCAACATTTGAAGATCCCTTTTCATATTCGACTCGACAATTCCAGCCTCCTCAGACGCAAGATGCATTGCATGAAGAGTCCTCGCCGCAGGAGCCCGACAACAAGCTTCTCGGCTTTTCTGCCCCTGCCGCGAGCGCTACTATTCTCAACGAGAACAACCAGCTAGTGGAGGTCGGCATGACTGCTGAGCTATATGGTATGTTCTTCGTTGCCGAAGACGTCTTTGGAGCAGATGCCACAGGGCGGCCATTAGAGTTGACCTGCTATCGGCGTAACCTATGGCAATGCTCAGGGCAGATTACCCTGCCCCGGGTAATTAGGAATATTGTGAACGAGCAGCGGCAGCACATCCAGATATTTGAGCTACTGGCTTCCATTGCAGCCATTGAATCTATCGAAGGCAAAGCAACTGAAATTATATCAATACCTTGGAAGAATGCCAACCCTCAGGGCGGCGATGATTCAAAATCCGTCACAGCGCCGCCAACTATCACATTGGATATCACGTCAGGACAGGAGCTTGACGCACATCGCATCTCTCTACCTATATCGTGGAAACGTCTCCAGTTTAAGCATGCCACTGCCAACAATGGCCGAAGAAAGGGCTTGCAGCAACACTATGTGGTAAAGATAAGCCTACTAGGCAAGACGCAGACCGGAGAACTGGTCAAGATTGCAGAGATACAGTCAGGGCCGGTCATTGTAAGAGGTAGAAGTCCCAGGAACTTTGATAGCAGGAAAGACGTTCCTTTGACGGGCGATAAGAGGTTTGAGAGGAGAAGCACTTCGACATCAAATCTCGACCATCCGACACTTAAGCTGGAACGGGAAAATTCACAAAACTTTCCCCAGCGATTTCCTCCGGCCGGTAATCTTCAAGTAAGTTCCGATTTCATATATGTCGAGTGAAAGTGCTAACAAATAAGCAGCCGAATGACTGGTCAACCCCTCAGTCGCTATCTCACCCACTGCCCAGTCCTCAACCGGGTGCAAGTCCACATCCGGCAAAGCGGGTTGCCTTATCACCGTCGATGACCAGGCCCCCGATACCAGCTTGGTCCAGCGACTCAAGCAATTCTGCCAAAGCAGCAAATGCTCACAACGGCAAAAACTCGGTTCCACGCCAGAACCCTTCTCTCCCGATCAATCTGTCGCTGTCCGAGGACGAAAGAAGTCCCAACCGCTCCAGTGCTGAGCTGCATAGTCCCAATTCCGGTAAAGGTTATACCACATCGGGGGCAAATCGAGAAAACAGTCCTGCAGACGAGGGCGCCGATCCCTTGTACGAATACTTCCCATTAACTGTGGATGATTGGTACGTTACCATGTTTTTTTGTCTCTACCCACTTGAGACGTTACTAACCCTCGACCAGGATGCCGCCTGTGGATGCTGTGTACCGGCCACACGTGGTGCATCACACGATCATGCCACCCGAGATGAAGGCACAGCAGCTCAAGAGCAAGGCCAAACGATACTTTGCATCAGACTGATGTATCTTGAAAGGTCTACAGATGGTTTATGAAATGCTGGAAAAGTCTTCTTGCTGTATATTATAGTTGGTGTGGTTTGCTTTGTTGACACGGTGGCATAGGGGAGGAGTATTCTTGGGTAGCGATTTCATAGGGAAGCAGATCTAGTTCATGGTGGATGATAGGGCTATCACTGAGGGCATGAGATGAGATGCCAGTATCCTATAACTATAATGCAATGTCTAGCTGTTACAATGCTCTGTGTCATGATGCACCGAATGAATAGTGCATAGATCTCATTACTTAACTCACTCATCACTCAAAAGATTATTAGTAACAAGCATAGATTGCCTTAGTACACCACTCGATGGCAAGGAGAGTAAGTGACATCGGTATCTCCAGTTTTAAAATGTGTATTGAATGTACCACACTCCAATGGTTTAATACCACACACTCCAACGCCCAAACCATCCAAAATGACCACTGGGTATCTTAATCTACAACTAACCAGAAAGTAACTCCCTATTCAACAGCTAAACTTGATTTATTTTAATCCATATTGATACAATCTGGTAATCTCAATCCTAAGCAACTCTATAGAGCAGACAAAACCACCTGTCTCTACCACATATCCGCCATCCCATCTCAATTTCCTTGCAACTACTCAGTGAGCTCCAACAGCGTTCGTTCTGTTTTGCAGTTCGGGGTTAGGCGTCAATCTGCGGTTCAGATTTGGCTCGGGAATGCGCGAGGCCATGCGATCCGGAACAAGGTCAGGGGAAGGAGACCGCATTGTCTTAATGTCTACTGGCATCGGCTGAAGTAAATCAGAGGCGACATGCTCGGGAGACATGGCGACAGCGCTGTCGATCAAATCAACCTTTGTCTTTGGAACATCGGTCTGAACTTCAAGGTTTGGTGTAAGTCGGCGGTTGAGGTTCGGTTCAGGAATACGCGATGCCATGCGATCGGGCAAAAGATCGGGCGAAGGTGTTCTCATAGAGTAGTCTCCCGCAGGTGTTGCGCGTAGAAGATGCGAGGCAATAGGTTCAGGAGCAATGATCACAGGGCTCTGAGCTCGATGGATCTTGGTTTCAGGGATGGCGACGTTGCCAGTTCGCACTTTGGAGGGGAGAATCTGCTCGAATCCCTGCTCACGCGCAACTTTCTCGATACTCTTGAAGTACTATTCATTTGTTAGCGGTGGTTCATTCGGCAGGGACGTGTGTGCTTACCTTGACTGTCTTGACCTGCAGTTCCAATGTAGCATCCTCGTCGACCACAATCATAGGATGAGGGTGCAGTTGCAGGCAGGATAGTGACCACATGTGGTTGACTCCCTGTTCAACGCACTTCTGTAGTGCAAGTGCCTTGCGAGCTCCCAGAATAATAACAACAACCTCCCTCGCCTCGAGAACCGTCTGGACACCTACAGTCAATGCCATTCTCGGCACCCTGTTCACATTGTTGTCAAAGAAGCGTGAGTTGGAAAGAATGGTATCGTAGGCCAGTGTCTTGACCCTGGTTCGGCTAGCAAGACTAGATCCAGGCTCATTGAAAGCAATGTGGCCATCTTCACCAATGCCAGCTAGGAAGAGATCAATACCACCAGCGTCTTTGATGGCCTTCTCATATGCATCGCACTCGGCCTCTGGGCTGGCAGCGTTGCCGTTGAGGATGTGTACGTTGGAAGGATGGATGTTGACATGAGAGAAGAAGTGTTTCCACATAAAGGAGTGGTATGAGTTGGGATCGTCTCGAGGAAGACCGACGTATTCGTCCATGTTGAAGGTGACTACATTCTCAAAGGAGACCTGTTGTGGTTAGATGATGGTTCGATATGAGACAATGTAGGACATACTTCGCCAGCCTTGAATCTGCGTACGAGCTCATTGTAGACGCCGATAGGGCTAGAGCCTGTAGGCAAGCCTAGGATGAAGGGATGCTCAGGTGTAGGTTGGAACGCATTGATACGCTCCACCACGTAATTGGCGACATACTTGCACGCCTCATTCTCATCGTCACGGATGATAAGACGCATGTTGTAAGATGTAAGGGATGGGGAGTTGTAATCGTTTTATAAGTGGTGATGATTATAGATGAAGGTAATAGTCAGTGTTGTTGAATTGTAGTAGGGGTTTATGGGTGGGTAGAGCTTTGAAGAAGTGAGATCACCCGCTGGAGGAGCCAGTTGCTTATGAGGAAGAACATATGAATCCGAAAGGTGCAAGTCATTACCAAGAAAGAGTTACTGAGTAGTTGCATCATGGCAGTCGCTACGGGATCGGCCACCTACCACCTTCCCTCTGCCAACCAGGGCGTAGCGTGGAGCAAGCGACTTCGCTCAGTGGCCATGTAAGGTATCATAGAGTCACGATGCTTGTCTCTGAATCATGATGGAGGGGATGAAACGTTTACCGTAGACGTCAGATAAAACTTCTGACACTGTCGTGAAGCCCGCACTGTACTGCTTCTGGTGTTGTCGTCAAGGCTGCTTCGACAAGAACTGCTATTGGTTGGAGATCAAGTTACAGAAGCTTCTGAAGACATTCCGGGTTAAAGACGGAGATAGATAATGACAGGCAGTAGCCGGCATTAGCTCCGATGTAAGGTAGCGTTGGGAACCTGGAAGCGTGTTATCAGATCAAGGGCAGGGAAGCATTCGCTTGTTTACTTGGTGGCAATATGACAAGAGCCTGCTCGTGTTAGTTACTCCTCGTGGTTAGTTATACCGTATCGTATTAATTGGTCTAGAAGCTTATGGTTTTTAGCCCCCATCTAGAAATCAAATCCGAGGTATCAAAGTCCGAGATTGATTATGTGTAGGTAAGCACCGTTGTTCAAGGTGACAGTCACAATCACAAGGGTCCAGGGTAGTGGTAGAGGCACCGAAGAAGGGCAGATTGTTTCAAATTACGCCTCTTGGCGATACGATGGAATAGCTACCTCCCCCGGTTGGGGATCGGGTGTGATATCCAGGTTTAATGGAAACGAGTGTAACGAGAAAGAGGGTCGAAAGGTAACATGTACGTAGATGAGATGAACCCTTGGAGTAATATTTATGGAGAGAGGCTAAAGATGCAGTGCTAGTGGTGCACTAACAATTACCCAAAACGTGATGCTTTAGTGGTGGGTTGGTGGGACTAGGTGCTAGGCTAGGTACAGGTCCATTACCAGGTAGCCTAGCCCACCCGTAAAAGAACCACCCAATCCACTTTCTCACGGGGCACTCACACGCAACGTTACAACTCCCCCCATTTGGTAGAGATCCTCCAGACCATTCAAAGTCTGACCCAACAAGCCTTTTCAATCAAATCAACAGCAATTACAAGTATACTTTCACTTCAGTACACGCAATGTGCTCTGTAGCGCCTGCTTTAGTGTGTTTACCTCCGGTGGCGGTTGTCGCGTGTCGCCTGAGCAGCATCAGCGGGCGCCTTGTCCTTGTCCTGGTTGCGCTGTGCGACGTTGAATTCAATTTCTCATCAATGATCAACCCTCAACAGAGGTACCTCTCTTCTCATAATGAACTGAACTGGATATGATATGCCACCTTACTTTTTACTACTTTGACTTGACACAGCGTGAACTGAAACAGAAGTCAACCACGACTCGACTCGACCGGATCCAACTTGACTCGAACCTCCTTTGCAACGTCGTCGAGTCCCTCCTCCGCCCTACTCCGTCCTCTTTCCCATCCTTTCTGACCCAGTCAAAAGTCACTTTTGGCATGTCCCATCAGAGGTGGCCCGTTTCTATTCCCCATCTCCGTATCGTTTCTCCCAACCTAGATCTCGCCTCTGTTACCGATCCAGGACTTGTGCCTGTCCATCAGACTCTCTCTCCACCTGCTAGTAGTAGTAGTAGGTCCATTGGGGCGTAAGATTCTCACCCTCATCCTCACCCTCACCCCATTTGTTCCTTCGACACCAGACTCCTTCAGCCTCTTCTTTTCGTATCCTCTTTGGTATTTACTTTCCGTCGTGCCCATGATAATCGGGCTCCCTTTCCCTCTCCTCCTTCGTTACTATCTTTCATAACATAATCACTCGTTTCTCAAAATGTCGACTTTTCAAAAGAAGCTCTTGGCTGCTATCATCAAGAGTCTCCTTCGAGGAAAATCACTGGTTCAGTCTCTCTTGGCTTACTGGAGCAGTTCACTGGGCCATGACACAACCGGCAAACCTCGAGTTGGTAACACGCCGCGCAGGTCTATCCAAGAATTTCTTAAAGAGGCCGAATCTCTGTTCCTCGACCCTATCGCCCAAGATTGTCTGCAGCAACTATCTCGCAACATGCGAAAACAGCTTCTAGAACGACTTGAGACAGACATGGAATGTATGCTGCCGTCGTACAGTCACCAGTTGCCAAGAGGCACAGAAGTCGGCCGTTTTGTAGCTTTGGATGTTGGCGGTTCAACCCTCAGAGTAGCATTGGTGGAACTCTGTGGTCGCATGTCCAATATCGGGGAACAGAGTAAAATTATCAGCACGCAGAAATTCTACATCAGCCCCGATATCAAGGCTTTAGAGGGGATGGCTTTCTTCGATTGGATGGCGGAGAGGATAATGGAAACCCTTTCAGCAGAGCTAGAGCAGCATGATAGATCTGATGGACCTTTGCCCATGTCGATGGCATGGAGTTTCCCTATCGAGTATGTATATCCATAATGATGCTTGCATATAGCACTGACATTTTCTCTAGACAAACATCACTGGCAGGTGGCAAGCTGCAGGGTATGGGCAAAGGCTTTTGTGCATGCAACGGCTTGTTAGGCCAAGACCTTGGAGAGATTGTGCGAACAGCTTGTCTGAACCGCGGTCTTAACGTAGAACTTCGAGCTATTGTCAACGACTCAAGTGCATGCTTACTATCAGAGTCGTATAACCACCCTACAACACGATTCGGTCTTATCCTTGGCACCGGTGTCAACCTCGCTGCCTACCTTCCTGTATCAGCCATTGGACGAGTCAAGTTCGGCCAACGTCCCCCTCAATGGTTCGAGAAGGCGACACACGTTATTATCAACAGCGAGATCAGCATGATGGGACGTGATATCTTGCCCTTGACAAGATGGGACAAGCAGTTGTTGGCAAACCACTCTCGACCTGACTTTCAGCCTCTAGAGCACATGGTCAGTGGCTACTATCTCGGCGAGATCTGCAGGCTTGCGCTTGTTGAAGCCATCGAGACAACAGGGGCTTTCGGAGGCGTGGTTCCCGCTTCATTGCAGAAGCCTTATTCATTCTCGACCGAGACGCTTTCTATTATTGAGAAGTAAGTTCCGTCACGCTGTTCAGCGATGTCGAGGGTACTAACAATGCACAGGGATACAAGCTCTGGTCTTGAAGAGGCACGCAAGCAGTTCTCCTCTCGCCACCCATCCAGCCATGCTCCTACGACAGCCGACCTAGCATTGCTCAAGCAACTAGCGTCGTTCATCTCCAAGCGTTCAAGCGCGCTCGCTGCTACCGGAGTTCACGCATTCTGGAATCTTCGCATTGAAAGCCAGGATAAGTTTATCCAAACTCTGTCTCCAGGATCTCCTGAACGGGACAGCGCCGAGGCAGACCGTGATCTTGCCCAGACAACCGTCGCCTACAACGGCGCAGTCATTGAGAGCTACCCAGGCTACCTTGACAGCTGCCAGTCATACTTGGATGACTTGGTAGCAAGTGATCAAAAGGAAAAGGCCGAAACTCGAACAATCAAGCTTGTTTCGGCAAAGGAGAGCTCCTTGATGGGAGCAGCTGTGGCGCTGGCGTCTTTGGAAGAAGTCGTTGAGGGGCCGTTGGGTGTAGTGGGCTAAAAAAGAGAAAGTGCACAGAAAGACACAATGTTAATGACACGAAGCATAGGTACAGGTGTTTGGAGTTATGATTCCTTTTTTTTTTTTTTTTTT